AAAAAAAAAGAAGAAAAAAAAGATAGTCGGAAGGGGAGGAGGAGGAGAGAAGAAGAAGAGGAAGAAGAAAAAGAAGAAGAAGAAGAAGAAGAAGAAGAAGAAAGAAGAAGAAGAAGAAGAAGAAGAAGAAGAAGAAGAAGATGAGAGGGGGACGAGCGACGGCCGACTCCACGACGCTGGCGACGGGCGACGGGTGACTGGCGACGGGCGACTCCACGACGACGGGCGACGAGCGACTCCACGACGACGGGCGACGGGCGACTCCATGACGACGGGCGAGCGAAGCTCCCAGGCGATGGCGACAACGGGCAGCGCGAGGAGCGAGGGCGAGTTGAGGACGAACGCAGGCGGCTGGAGGGAGGCCCCGTTTCGACAGCCAATGCAGGCCGCCCAAGCCAGTCGTTGTTCAAACGGGGCCTGGGTTTTCCCTCCAAAGAACAGACGGCCCTCTGGCCGTCGATCATGGATGATCGACGGCCGGAGGGCCGTCACAAATTCAAAAACAAAAACAGGCCTCATGGGCCCGACGCGCCGTTTTCTGGGCGTGGTCGGACCTGGTAGGCCCTGGGGAGACATAATCTGGTCGATTCGGGGTCGGAACCCCCCCGCCAGCAAAGGTGTGCTGGGGGGGGGCGGCCCCCAACCGGGCCGCCCGGGACCTCCCCCGGGCAGGCGCTGGTCGGCCGGGCGGCCCAGATCCGTACACAGAAAAAAAAAAAAAAAAAAGCTTCGTTTTACATGAAACCCTCCTGCGGAATGGCCTGATCCCGGTGGTGGTCGTGGAGCCTCCGGAATTGAGACCTTCCCAGATCGGTGACTCCGCGAATTGGTGGAGAGCAGCCACTGCTGGAAATCGGGTCCCCCCCTGTATCCTGTTATCATCCCCCGCGAGACTGGAGCTTTATCAGCTGGCAGTGGGTTCAGTGGTTATCTCAACTTATCTGTACAAGTCTTGCATTTATAAATCTGGTGCCCCAATAGGAGGGTGAAGAAGTAGCTCAGCCAGTCAACAACAAAAACAAGAAGTTTCACGAAAAGGGCTCACAAGTTCAGTGCTGTCAGAATTTTCTCCACGCCTGCTCAGTGAACCTCCCAGCCCTACTGGGGTAGTCAATGCTGGCAGGAGAAGGCCACAGCTTTTCCCAATGTTCCCAAAGTGTATGTATTCTACATTGTTTTTTCTTCATTCAAGTCTGTATGTATTCCCAAGGGATGCTGGACCCACTTTCCAGCATGTGTGGCTCCCCACAAATCGAATGGAGCAACCGGAACTTGCACTAGGAGGGTATGCTTTTATTATCCCTCCTGGTAATGTATTTATTAAAAAAAAAAAAGCTCTATTTGTTGTTGTTGGTTTTAGGGTTTTAGCATATGTTCTTTCTAGATTCAGTAACTCCCTCTTTTTTTTTTTTTTTTTTTTTTTTTTTTTTTTTTTTTTTTTTTT